ATTTAGCCAGGCTGCAATTGATAGACATTTGGATTGTTTCTGATACATTTTGCTGTTCCAAACAATAATTCCATGAATGCTCATATTAAAAACTCATTTCTCATATGTGTGAGCATATCTGTTACTCTTAAGAGAGGTATCGTTGTGTCAAAGAATGTGTACATTTTTTTATTTTAATATATATCGTTAACCCCCCCCACCACCACCCTGGGTTTGTTACCAATTTGCCCTCCCACTAGCCATGCCTGAACATATATATATATACCATGCACAAACATACCTGTTTGCCCAAGACATGGTCAGCAAAATAGGAGATCAAACTTTGCCTTTGCCAATCGGATAGGCAAAAAATGGTATCCGGTAGGAAATTTAATTTGCATCTGAAGGGGGAGATTTTTTTTGGAAGCAAAAAAAAAAACACCACCAAGTCACAAGTGTCAGCTGCTTTAGTGCTTCTGCCAGTCCAGACAGCACCTCTGGGTGAATTAATAAAAGGCACTCCCCCTCAAGACACTTGGCTGCCATCTGCTAGACAACTGTCGTGATAACTAAACAAATGCGTGATGACTTTGAGGCAAAGGACACCCCTGGAGTTGCGCAGAGCTCAGCGACCAGGGAGCCACCGGCAGTTTTGTCAGTATCGTGGTCTCTGGGTAGTAACCAGATTGCCTGAAATTAATGCAGGAGAAGTGGCAAACACAGGACAGGAACTCAAGATGCTTGACAGTGGAGCAGGGGGCATTAGCTTGGGGGACGGCCAGAATAAATGGAAACTTCATTATCCGTGGATTATGCACTTGGAACTTAGGTCCCAGGCAACTCTGATATTAGTCATTTGGCCAGAGGGCTCATTAAGCTCTTAAGAAAAGTGGGCCTAGTTAATGAATTAATACAAGATGACATTTTACACACAGAGCAAAAACGAGACCAGGCACCACCGAGTTATGCAACATCATAATTTCTCAAGCAAATGTGATCGCTGCATCTCGCCTGCCAGAGTGAGCCTGTCTGAAGGGAAGAGCCTGCTTTCTGAGACATGAGTGAGACCGTTGAGGTGCACAGACATTTTATATTCTGTGCATTTTAAAGGGCTCCCACCCATCTTCTTAAAACCGCAAGTGTTTACATAGAAGTCAGCGTTTTAACATCTCTGGACCATTTGTTTCCTCTGTGAAAATCTACCCGCTTTCCTCCTTTAAGAAACACATCTCACTGGAGTGGAACTCAGGCGATCCTTGTCTTCTCCCCCATTCTCCAAAAGGTGGCTCCCCCAGCTTCGACCGCTGGTCCGGAAAAGTTGGTGGGGACGATGGCAAGAGTGCGAACACCGAGAACCAGCATGAACTGGTGAGGGATGATGACAAGTTCTGGAGATGGACAGTGGTGATGGTTGCACAGCAGTGCACGCGCACTTACTGCCTCTGAACTGTGCTTAAAAATGGTTAAAATGGTGAATTTTATGTTACGTGTATTTTATCATAATAATTAAAAAAAAAAAAAAAAGAGCCAGCATTACTGAGTGCAAACCCTTGGCAGGCACTGTGCTTGGCACTTGTGTGTCTCCTGTGCCTCACCCTCCCAGTGATCCAGGAGATACGGGTGCTGCTGTTTACCCAGCACCACCGCCATTTCACAGACGAGGAAGCTGAGGCTCATACAAGTTACATAACTCGCTTGAGCTCAAACGGCTAGAAGTGATGGTTTCAGGATTCGCCCTCAAGGCTCCGTGACTCTGCGGCTCTGTGTGCGAGATAACACAGTGAAGGTATTTTAGTTGAAGCCTGAATTCTGCAACATACACACACAAGCCCCCACCCAGCTTTTAATTATTTAAGCTGAGAGCAGACAGCGCTCCAGCAGAATCCCTGAGTGACAGCTTATTGTCTTCAGGAAAATCCAAAACCGCCCCCCTCCCTTAACCATTCTGCAGCATGATTCTCCCTTTCGATTGGATTCGTGTTTCTTTCTTTCTGTACAGATGAGTCACTGAAACAAAGACTACCAGGGATTTGGAGCATCTTCTGTAGCTTTTAGTCCACGTTTGGGTGTGGCTAGAAAGAAAATTTAACACATAGAGCCAGGAGCTGGAGGGGGAAGGTCTTCGCTTGTCTCTGATTGGGATGATTCGGGGAGTCGGGAAAGAAGTTAGTGTGTTTCGCACCTTGTGGGTTTTTGAAGGAGAGATTTCCTGGCTCCTCTCCTTACTTCATATGTGGCTTTAGACAGTTATTAATAATTCACCTCTTTGAGTCAATTTGCTCCTCTGAACACTAGGAATAATGATAGTGCCTACTTCACCAGGGCAAATAAACAGATTTTTTTTCATGGAGGTGTAGGCATTTATTGAGTGCCTACTATGTACCAGGCACATGCTACACTCTGGGGACGAAGGAAACAGCTGCGCCGCTAGTGATAAGGGATGGAGTAAAGCACTCACCCTGTGCCAGGGCAGAGGACATGAGCCACCAGTGGTTGCTGCTGCTGCTGCTGCTACTTTATGTCTACATTTGGTCCCTGGGGACCCACTGAAACCTCACTGCTTCACAGGTGGAACAAACACAGGGTTGTGGTCACCAGATTTGCACACGTGGTTGCATTTAGATTATTCTTCCAGCTAAGGCCGCACAGTGGATAGTTCTAGTTCCTCCACAAAGACGAGGGGTCCCCAGGTTTCTGTAAAGGGGCCAGTCTAGTTTCCTGTGCCCACCTAGACCTTACCGTGGTTGCCAGGTGTGTCCTACTGACCAGAAAGCTCCTTACCTGAGTATTTGATGTGCGGCCCATTAGCACATGTGGGGAGGACAATGTTAGCAAGCCGCAGGGGTGGCACGTGTACCAGACTTTCACCCTAGGACCTCTGAGGAAATGCCTGCAGGTTGCCTGACAGGTCTTGCTGGGGTGCTGTAGAGCAGAGTGTTGGGGCAAAGCGCTGAAGTCAGACCCCCAGGCTCAAGTCACACACAGCTCCAGAAACTTGTGTGACTTCGGTCAGGGGAACCGACCTCTCTGAGCTTCATTTTCCTCATGTTAAAAGGGGGGAATTCTTTAAAGTATCTCCATGTTGCTTTCCACCAAGGTTGCACTAGTTTGCAGTCCCACCAGCAGTGTACGAGTGTTCCTATCTCTCCGCGTCCACGCCAACATTTGTTGTTTGGGGACTTTTTTTTTTTTTCATTTCAGTATGTTATGGGGGTACAGATGTTTAGGTTACGTATGTTGCCCTTGCCCCCTCTCCCCCGCTAAGTCCGAGTTTCAAATATGTCCATCCTTCGGGTGGTGCGCATTGCACTCTTTGTGTATGCAAATACCCGTCCCCTCCTCCCTCCTCCCCCCTCCCCCCCTGCCCAACATCCAATAGATGTTATTCTTATATGTGCATTTATATGTTGATCAGTTAATACCAATTTGATGGTGAGTACATGTGGTGCTTGTCTTTCCATTCTTGGGATACCTCACTTAGTAGAATGCGTTGTTTCTTAAAGCTGAATAGTACTCCATGGTATACATATACCACATTTTATTAATCCACTCATGTATTGATGGACACTTGGGTTGTTTCCACGTCTTTGCAATTGTGAATTGTGCTGCTATAAACATTTGGGTGCAGGTGTCTTTTTCATAGAGCCACTTTTGTTCTTTTGGGTAGATGCCCAGTAATGGGATTGCTGGATCAAATGGTAATTCTACTTGTATCTCTTTAAGGTATCTCCATATTGCTTTCCACAGAGGGTGCACTAGTTTGCAGTCCCACCAACATGAGTGTTCCTATCTCTCCGCATCCACGCCAACATTTATTGTTTTGGGACTTTTTGATAAAGGGCAGTCTCACTGGAGATAAGTGATATCTCATTGTGGTTTTGATTTGCATATCTTTTCACTGATCAACACCTAAGTGCACATATAGGAATAACATTTACCGGGCATCAGGCAGGTGGGAGCGGGGAGGAAGGGATGAGTATATACATACATAAAAAAAAGGGGGGGTTACAATGCCTACTTCATGGAGGTGTTATGGGTCAAGGAGATGTGACAATAAAGCACTTATTTGCATATGTTGAACACACACTTACATGGCACAGTGTGTCAGCTGTTGTCCTGAATGCTTGGTGATTATTGACACATTGATATTCGCAGACACCCGGAGTGCTGAGGACTATCACTGCTCCATTTTGGAAAAGGGTGGCACTTTCCAAAGGGCACAACCCATATATTGAGGGGCTGGGATTTGAATCTGGGGTGGCTGCAGGGTCCACGCCGTTAGCCCGTGCTGTGCTGATCTCTCAAAAGCTGCACGTGGGGGCCTGGTGTAAAATAGATGCTCTACACACATGAGGAGCCCCGAAGGCACCCACCTGTCTTCCTCAGGTGTATTGTATTATAAATGCCACAAGAACGCTCCTATTCCTGGGGAGTGACATTTCCTGGGGCTGACTTTTTGAAACAGCTTTATCGAGGTACCATTTGCATTACATAAAATTTGCCCGTTTAAAGTGTGCATTTCAATGATTTTTCATAAATTTAGCAGTTTGTACAACCATCACCATAATCCAGTTTTAGAACATTCCCATCACCCCGACGAGATCCCTCATACCCATTCACAGTTAATCCCATTCTCTCTCTAGCCCCAGGCAACCACTAATCTACCTTCTGCCTCTATAAATGTGCCTTTCCCGGACATTTCATATAAATGGGATCATACGATATGTGATCTTTTGTGCCTGGCTTATTTTACTGCCTAATGTTTTTGAGGTTTATCCATGTTGTAGCATGTATCCGTATTTGTTACTTTTTATGGCCGAGTAATACTCCATTGTATGGATCTACCTCATTTTGTTTATGCATTCACCAGTCGCTGGACATTTGGGTGGTTTCCACTTTTCGGGTATTAGAATTGTGTCGTCATGAATATTTGCATGCAATCCTGGGGCTGGCTTGAAGACACAAAGGGAGCCAGACTGGTAACCCTTTCTCTTTTCCTCTCTTCTGTCCGGGTTTCTCAGAACCAGGCAGCGGACAGGTGTTTGTGACTTCAGAGAACCAGCTCGTGTACTACCCCAGCATCACTTACGCCATCATCGGCAGCTCCGTCATCTTCGTGCTGGTGGTGGCCCTGCTGGCTCTGGTCTTGCACCACCAGCGAAAGCGGAACAACCTCATGACCCTGCCTGTGCACCGGCTCCAGCACCCTGTGCTGCTCTCCCGCCTGGTGGTCCTAGACCACCCCCACCACTGCAACGTCACCTACAACGTCAACAATGGCATCCAATATGTGGCCAGCCAGGCCGAGCAGAATGCGTCAGAAGTAGGCTCCCCGCCCTCCTACTCTGAGGCCCTGCTGGACCAAAGGTGCGTGCTGGGTGGAAGAGATCGAGGGGAGGGAGGTCGTGTAATGCGGGGAGAATATGTGCACATGCCGGGGGTCCTAGGTGTTGCCAACAGCCTGGTTCAGCTGCTGTGGGCAGTAGCAGCATCTGACATTTATGGAATCCTTGCAAAAATGCTCCCCTTGTATCATCTCATTTAATCCTCTCAGTCACCTACTGAGAGAGGTTCTATATTTGCCTCAATTTTACAGATGAGGAAACTGAGGCTCTGGGGTGTTAAGTCACTTGTCTGAGGACAGACAGGATCCTGGCCGACTCAGAGGCCTGCTCCTCCTGGGAATGCCACACCAGTACATGTTCAGGCCACTGACTAGCTCTGGGCCCCACCTGCCACCACAGAACAGTGCTCAGTACAGATGAGAGGTCTGGTTAATATCTGTTGAATGAATGGATAAATGAATGAGAGAATAAATAAGTTCCTTAACGTTGCTTGGCTTCATCTATAAAATAAAGAAGGTGGAATAGAGCACTCTCGGGCTTTTTTTAAGCAGTAGAGCCCTCTTTACAAATGGAATTATACAAAAAACCCCAAAATATAAAGCCAAAAAGCAGAGTTCTGTAGCCGAAGCAGTTAGTGGACTCAGAGCCTGCCTGTGTCCCTCCTTCCCTGAGCCCAGGATGCAAACTGTGTTTGGCGATAGGCATTTTGCAGGCCGTGTTCCCAGGGTGACTGGGCTCTTGCTTGGACCCTCTCCAGTGGCAGCTCTTGTATGATTTAATCTTCATTTTTCCTCCTCACCGAAGATGAACAAAGCTTCAGAGGTCACGGAGCGGGTGGCACTTAAGGATCTCTCTGCAGATAAGTGTCGGGATGCAGGACCTCCCTCACCTGAGAGTCCCCACTGCTAACCTCTCCATTTGCACCACCCGGGGCAGGGTAAGGCTACAAGTGCTGAATCTGGAGACAGAATGCCTGGGTTCAAATACCGGCATTGCTGCTTACTGGTTATTTCTGATCCTGGGCAAGACATTTAATGTCACGGTGCCTCAGTTTCCTCACCAGTACAACAGGCATAAAAGCAAAGCCTACCTCATAGCATACCTCTGAGCATTAAAGTAACAAACGGAAGGTGCACGGCAAAGCTCCCAGCTCACAGGAAGCCTTCAGTAGATGAAAGCTAAAAACTAAAATGTCTTTTCTGTTAAATACGTTCATTTCAAGCCCATTCTACAGATAGAGACTGAGGTGTTGAGAGGGTGTCCTCTCACGTACCCCAGTTCGCAGCCAGGAAGAGCTGGCTTTCAGTGAGAACCTCAACTTCTGTGTACCCATCAAAGGCCCAGTCGAGACCACAGCCTGGCGGCTTGGCCGCGGGGCTTCTGGCTGGTGGGGCACAGCGACTCCGCCAAACCACCCAGGTCGAGCTGAGGGACTTGAGTGACACCCTCGTTCTGGGTCCACCCAGAGGATGTGGTTCTGGCACTGCCAGTTGTCATGGGCCAGCCATTTCTCACTGGAAGCATCACCTCAGAAATGGGCTGAAGTTGGCTTGTCTTGGCTCTGATGTGTTCTTTTCCCTCTCCCCTCCCTGGTGCCCCTGCCACCCCAACCCACTGTCCCCATTGCAGGCCCGCGTGGTACGACCTCCCTCCGCCACCCTACTCTTCGGACACGGAGTCTCTGAACCAAGCGGACCTGCCCCCTTACCGCTCCCGGTCGGGGAGTGCAGACAGTGCCAGCTCCCAGGCAGCCAGCAGCCTCCTGAGCGTGGAGGACACGGGCCACAGCCCGGGACAGCCTGGCCCTCAGGAGGACACTGCCGAGCCCAGGGACTCTGCGCCCAGCCAGGGCACTGAAGAAGTATAAATTCCAGTTCTTCCAAAGTCCATATGGGTCAGTCTGCTCTGACTTGTTACCATTCTACCAACCTGTGTGCATGGGAAGCTCTTCAAGCACCCTGTAAAGGTGTCTCGAGTTACAGTTTGGGGTGTCAGCTCTCCCTCCATTCCACTCCTCCCCGAGATTTCAGGGGTGTGATTTAGAGGGTGACTTGGCATTTTTCTGGCCCTTCTGTTGACATGATCTGTTGTGCATCTTATCTGGGAGGTCACTCTTCCTTCAAGACCCAGGATCGCAGCCTCACATTTCACGTCATTCTTCTGTTTCTGTTGGGCAGGGAGCTGGATAGAACGGGATTTAAGTAGATTTGCAGAAAGCAGTGTTTCCGTGCTGTGTTGGATATTCAGAAGGGCAGAAGACACCAGACCAGACTTTCTCTGCTGGGCTGCTGCCTTATCACGTTTTGGGATTTAGGTTGGATGACCCTAGCAGGAGGCCATCACCGCCTTACACGATCCTGTATGTTGCCCTCGCTTCAGTGGAGGCAGTTGCCAAAGAAAACTTTTGACATGAGAAACACCCTTCAGCAATCAGCGGTGTCATTTTGGTTTTGTGAAGGACTCGGAAACTGTCCACCCTGGATAGATTCTGACTTTAGCGTTTCGCCCAAGAGTCTTCATTTTGAGAGCTTTCTCCAGCAGTATATCTCATCAGCCTCATCCCAGATTAGGCAGGGAGGCCCTGCCATGAGTTTATTCACGTTCTCAGCTCCTGAAATGCAGGCTGCCAAGAGCCTTGGCTGCACAGTCACTACCCTGGTTTCTGGACTGTCACCCTTCCAGCCGACCTGCCTGTAGCCAAGGAATAAGGACCTGACTTGCCCCGACCAAAAATCTGATCTGGCCCCTTGTGCCTGTAAACCACACCCAGCCCGTCTTGCTCGTTCATGCAGCTTCAGCATTTGCCTCCGAAGTTCTCTTGACACTTACAAGTCTGTTTTACCTGTGCATTTGGACTTGAGGACGCTGGTTTCTAACATACGTGAGAGCTCCTGGCTCCCTGCACTGCACACGCTCCTCTTCCCGGGGTCTGGGTGAGGGGTGCTCATTAGGGTCAGGGTTAGAGTTAGGGTCAAGGTCAGGGTCCTAATATCCCAGTAGTTTGTCCTCTGAGACACATGGGCAGTAGACAATTTGGAGTCAAGATTTTCCATTTGGATTTTTTAAAATATCTTTTAGAAATGCATTTGAAACAGTGTGTTTGTTTTTTCCCTTCTAGTTAAGGGACTATTTATATGTGTATAGCAAAGCTGTCTCTTTTTTTTGTTTTTCCTTTAGCAAGGTCCAAAGAAAGATGCAAAAGGAGATCATGCCTTTGTCCCGCCGAGCCCCATGATAACAAGTCACTCCAGACTAACCTGTGTGCCAGACATTTGTGCGTTGTTGCACTTTGAGGTTATTATTTATCGAGTTCTTGAAGGATGCAGAAAGAGGGACTCATCTCTCCCTCAGCCTGTAGTTTCTGTGTGTGTGCCCTAGGCATCCTCTTTCTCTGTGCCCAGCCAGCCACAGGGCCCACCTCCCCGAGGGAAGAATGGGCAAAAACTTAGGCGTTCGTTGGCAAGAAACCACACTGACAGATGAGGGCTAAAACTGGAACCAGGTGGAGCCACTGCAGGCAGCTGTCACCCATTCAAGGCTTCTTTCCACAGCCGCAGAAATGTTCAGTAACCTGTTTGATGCTAATTGAAACAGCCTGCAGGAAGGGAGGTGAAGTGTCCGTTCAATGATCCTGTTCTGTAGACTTCTTTTTTTAACCAAATCCAAAGTTTGTTACAGGAAAGTTAGCCACTTGGTCTTTTGTTGTGTGTGGTTTTTTTTTTTTTTTTTTTTTTTAAGTAAAGGAAAAGAACCTAGTTGCTTGTATCTTTCATTTTTAAAATAGCACTTGAGTTATTTTCTGAGTTATCCAATAAAGAAAAAACTTTGATGGCAGCCAGAATGCGTTAGGAACTCCGGCTGAACATTTCATCTCCTGTGAGTCAGAAGGGCTTTATTTCTCCCTTTGATGGGCCCTTGCTTCTTTCTGGTGCTCTGGAAGTTGTTTAGAGGAAAAGATTCTAATTTTAATTAATTGTGCAGTGAGTTAATCTCACGCGCTTTTCTGCTTCCAGGCATCTTAGGAAAAACAAATGGTTTTCATAGATAAGGGAAGCCTATTAATGTTGTTTTTTAAAACAAACACAGGGACATTTTTATTACAGATTTGATTTTTTTAATGAACGTTTTGGAAAATATATAAATAGGACACCAAAGCTGCAGGGTTTTGGGTTTTTTTTTTTCCCCTATTCAAGATGGCAAGTAAGTGGCCAGCAATATTTTTTAACTCATTTTAACCAAGATTGTTTTATACGTTGCTTAAATCTACGCCAACCAGAAAATGATCTCTGCTCTCTTTTCTCAAATGAGATCAGCATTTATTTTAGCATTAAAATAGTTTCACTGTGATCGCCAGCTTATCATCCCCTTCTACTCAACCCTCTCTACCTTGAAATTGACATTTTTAAAAAAATGCAGCTAAGTGGTTAATAAATAATGTGTGATGTTCAAAGTTAATGTAAACTGGAAAGGTTGTGTGTGGTTGCTTTTTGTCTTTCGGTTAGGCTTGGTTTCATTTTGTTTTTTAATTTTTATACTTTCAAATAAACTTGCAGTTTCATTCTTTCTATTTGTGTGGATGGTTCTTGACCCACTTATCTGACCTATAGTAACATAAAGAGTGGATAGTCACTTCTGTCCTAACTTCTGCAACGAGTTTATGCCATAATAAAATGAGAAAAAGGAAGGATAGATGGTTGGGACCTCAAAATGTGATGGATACGTAAGGATTCTACAGTCAGTATGATTGGAATACAGGGGTAAAGTTAGTATCACAGGCCCTGGGAAGTCGTATCAGAAGCTGACTGTTAGGCCGGGCGTGGTGGCTCACGCCTGTAATCCTAGCACTCTGGGAGGCAGAGGCGGGCGGATTGTTTGAGCTCAGGAGTTCGAGACCAGCCTGAGCAAGAGCGAGACCTGTCTCTACTAAAAAAATAGAAAGAAATTAATTGGACAACTAAAAATACATAGAAAAAATTAGCCAGGCATGATGGTGCATGCTTGTAGTCCCAGCTACTCGGGAGGCTGAGGTAGGAGGATCACTTGAGCCCAGGAGTTTGAGGTTGCTGTGAGCTAGGCTGACTCCACGGCACTCACTCTAACCAGGGCAACAGAGTGAGACTCTGTCTCAAAAAAAAAAAAGAAGCTGACTGTTTCTACCTTAGCTACAGCATTGTTCAAGGGAAAAGGACAAGTGGCTGAAATAACTGTACAGATTCTGACCGCGTACTCAGGGGTGCAGTACTGCTTCTGCACACAGGTGCTGGTCATTAGTTTCAAACCACAAAGGGCTCAGATTGGCCCCACCAGTGATGGGACCATCTTTACACTCTAATAAGGCTAGTTCCAGAGTCACGTGTTGACTAACGCAACAGCGATAGTCGCGTGTGAAGTCAGGATGTCCCACGGGTCACCACCACTACTGCCACCACCACCCATGAACAGGGGCAATAACTCCAGCCTTGGCCAAGATTGAAATGTACATGGAAATCCAGATGCAGGACCCACAGAATCAGGATTTAGATCATGTATTGGTCCCCAGTTCTCTCAAAAAGGAGACTGGGCTATCAGGCAGGGGTGTCCCAAGTTTATGCTATGTCATGTCCTACCGCTGGTGGTCTAGAGTAGACCTCCCCAGACAGCATATTCCAAAGGTTTGTTGAAGATACTCATCCGTCAGAGTATCTTATGAGTACCATTTTTTTATGGATGCTACGGTGAAGAAACAATTGTAAAGCACTAATCTAGAGCAGGGGTTGGCATACTTTCTATAAAGGGCTAGGTAGTAAATATATTTGGCTTTGTGGCCATATGGTCTCTGTAGCAACTACAAAAGCAGCCATAGACAATACATAAATGAATGGGTGTGGCTCTGTTCCAACAGAACTATTTATAAAAACAGGCAGCTGGCTAGATGTGGCCTGTGGGCTGTGGTTTGCCAACGATCTAAAGGATCATTTCCACATTGGGTTATGGATCTAAAGCTAAGAAAAAAAAACAGTTGTACTATGGCTTGAGGGGTATTAGAAGCTTAAAATGACACCAACCCCCCAAAAATTCAAGGCCCCTTTTATCTCTTTTACAGTGAATACAAAAACACAGGATTAAGATGAATAGAGCATGTCCTAATGAGGTCCTAAACAGTAGGGTTGAATGTTGCAATCCTAGTCAAAAAACTACTCTCACTGGGAGTAATAGATAGTGGTCTGTCTTTTAGAGAAGGTCCATGGGAGTGAGTGACCTGGGAGGTGTTGTCCATATTCTCCATTTAGTTTGCAACCCATAGGCAAGGCAGCAAATTCAAAAAGTAAACTGAACGAGAAAGATAGAGATTCAGATGGCTGCAACAGAGCTGTAATGAGTGTGCACAAGGAAAGGATATGCACCGAACGAGACCCTCAGAGAAAAGGTGAGAATATACACTGACTCCTTTGACATCCTATAGTTAAACAAGTTCATGGCGCATTAATTAGAATTCCCAGTTATAAGCAATAGAAATCCAATTCATGTAAGATTAATTGTGTTAACTTTTAGAAGGTATATTGTCTAATACAACAAAGTCCGAGGGTATGGAACTGTTGGTTTCAAGCAGGGCTGGATCCATTTGCTCTACAGCTGTCATGAGGAATCTGTTTTTCCCTTGACTGTTCTTAGCCCTGCTTTGCTTGGTGTTGGCTTCATGGAAAAGAGAGTCCAAGAAGATCCGGATTCACGATCTCAGAAGAGACACTCTCTCCTAGCATCTATAGAAATTCCTTTAAATGGACTCCACTGGTCATCTTTGGTCATGTGGCCATTACCGTGGGTGGGACTCATCCCTTGACTGACAGCCCCACCTGAGTTACACGGAGTAGGAAAGGGGAATTCTCAGTTCCTCTTTCCATGTGGAAGAGTCTGGAAGTAAACAAAATACCAATAATATATCTACCATAAACCCTCTCCAACGAATGAGACCCACACTGGCTGGCACAATTTTTAATACACATAAGAAAATTGCATACAACTACAAGCCTCAGGCAACATAGGCATGAAATGGTCTGAAAGAAGCAGAGGCAGTGTTACAGCAAACATTTCAGCTGAGAGACTCAACAGCATTTCCTATGAGGCAAGGTCAGTTCCAAGTTGCCCTTGAGTCATACGCGCTTTCTGAGATGGTCGTGGGTAAAGACATCGA